CCTCTGATGCTGCTTGGCCTGCTGTGTTCATCCAGCTCTGCACCTTGTTATCTCAGATTCTCCAGCATCTGCAGTTCCTACTGTCTTTGTAACAGGTTTATTGCTGTCAGACTGTGATGAGGAGTCCAGCTGTTGCCTTGTCAGCTTCCTTCCCCACTTTCCCAGTCCCCACCCTGCCCCAGCAGAGCCTGTAACTGAGCACTTACAGAAAGAAAGAGAAACTTGCATTCGTGTAGCACCTTCACGCCCCCTTCAGGATGCCCTGAGATGCCTTATGGCCAATAGGAAGCTTCCAGAGCGCAATTGCTTGGTTGTTTTGCCAAAAATGCCATGGCCAGTTTGTGTCCTGAAAGATTCCAGAATCATAATCACAACTAAATATTGCTGTGGATCGTGGGGAGAATTCCTCAGCTCTTTGAGATAGCATCGTGGGATCGATTATATCCCCCAGGATGTCAGGTTACAGGCTGGAAACTGCATTTGGCAATATTTTTTTAAATGGATCCCCAAAAACCTAAACTAAATTAGCAGCAACATAACATGACCGATGTGTAAACTGGGAAGCAAAGCTGGTTTCATCCAGGGTCTTCCTAGTCCACCCCGGTAGCTCCCCCCTACCCCGGCATGCCAGTGAACCAACTACCTCCAACCAAACATTCCCAATTACAGCCCACCCAGCCAACCCTTTCCCCATGACCCAAATGGAGTCACCCCTGACCCACTCTATCCCCTTAGTCATTCCGACCCCTATCTACGACTCACCTGGACACCCAACAACCTAATGCCGCAACATTCTGGTATGCGTGTTTAATTTTTAGTATCTTCTGCCTGATCATAGAATCCCTACAGTGTGAAAACAGGCCCTCCAGCCCAACAAGTCCACACCGACCATCAGAGCATTCCACCCTGGACCCATCCCCCTATAACCCACCTAATCTACACCTCCCTGAACACTACGGGCAATTTAGCATGGCCAATCCACCTACCCTGCACATCTTTGGACTGTGGGAGGAAACCCACGCAGACACAGGGAGAATGTGCAAACTCCACACACGCAGTCGTCTAAGGATGGAATCAAACCTGGGTTCCTGGCGCTGTGAGGCAGCAGTGCTAACCACTGAGCCACTGCGAAAGAAGAGGTTGGAAGAGATTATGACCGGGGTGGAGGGGTCTTTGATGATGTTGGCTGCCTTTCCATGGCAATAAGTAGTGTAGATGGAGTCAATGGTGACGAAGGCCAAAATCATGTCAACATTTTAGATTTGGTAATACAGAACTGGAATATTGCTTAAAGACGACACATTTAGTCACAGTTTTTTCATCTTGCTCACGTCAGGGTAATTTGCAAGAATACAAATTCAAGGCGAAAACCAACCTTACACAATGTGTGGTGAGAGTATGTTTTAATCGCCTTTTTTCCTGTTGTTCTGATTTGGCAGCAGTGTTCCCTTCAAACTTACATTTACCCAA